GTTTGTTTTTTGTTACAGCTTCTTTTACTTTCTGTTAGTGAGGGCACAGGATAGGATGAGCTTTGAGTGAGTTATAATGTGTTCAGTGATAGCCAGTTTTGGAACAGTTATCAGATGCAGTACCATTTTTTTAATGAGATCTGACAAATTCTGAATAATAAATAGCAAATAATGCTTTTGTGAGTGTCCCAGGAGAACTGGAGGAAACCTGCTCTAGCTAAAGATGCCTTTGTACGTAGCAGAGGGGCAGGTGGACTAGATGGCCTTTAAGGTTCCTTCCAACCCAAACTATTCTATGATTTTATGAAAGTCAGAAAAACATTCACTTTCTGTTCCTCCCACCTTATTTAGGTGTTAGTCATTCTTTCCCAGGGCAACATGCTTGCAGCTGGTGCCCATTTCAGTAAGTAGGTGGCCAGCTATATGTTTTTTTGTTATCTTAGTTAATGTGTGGGGAAGATGGAATTCTTTCTACTTTGAGAGACCTGGATTTGATCATAAAGTTTCCTAAAGAGGTTTGTGAATAATTAATTTATTTGTAAAAACAATAATTTCACACAGTAAAATTGCAATGGATAATGAATCTAGCTCTCTTAAACATATTTAGTCCCTCTGCAACCAAATGGCATTTGAGTTAGAGAAAATTTGGTCTGGGAATTATTTTCCATGGACCTTGATCTTTTCAGGAGCAAGACTGAGCTGACACCACCTAGGCTGTTACTGAAGACGTTTCTCTACTCCGGTCTTAAAAGCAGTTTCCCTAAACAACCTGATCCAGGGTTTTACTATCCTCAGTGCTAGGATTTTCTTAATCGAAATTTAACTAAACATAATCTAACATAAAACTAATAATTTCTTGTCCTCTTTCCTTAGCATATAAATAACATTTTTTCTCTCCCCTTGTAGCATAGTCTTTTATAGAGGGGAAGACATCTCTTTTAACATACTTCTCTAAATCGGTTCCTTCATTGTTTTCTATTTTTCTGAGCTACTCCTCTGGCTCCCCTGGAAACATTCCACATTTAGCTGGATCTTTCTCAAAGTATGTTGCTTACTTTGCAATTTAATCCCCTGTCACAAAATATCCTCAACTCCTTCTTCCCTAGCATTATCCCCAAATTTTTAAGCTCACTCTCGACTTCTCATTAATGAAAATACAGGCTAATTCCAGGATCTCTCTTAACATCTCCTCACTGACATATGCTGATAACTCTTTCTCATACAGTTGTTTAGTGTCAGTCTCCAGTCATTCCTTGTGGATGAGAATGCAATTTAAAAGTAGATAAGATTCTGCCCTCAAAATTTTACATAAAGCTGTGACCTTGACATATTTTTAAGAATGTCTATTGTGTTATATATCTCCTAAGGGATTTGAATTATTTTTCTCTTTCTTTCTTTTATATGCTGCTGCATTATTTGACATTACTAGAGCAAGGGGCACCAAAGAAATAAATAGGAATTTGATTTAAAAGAGAAAAAAAGCATTACACTGCAGTACTGTGTTCTGGTATTTGGGACTGCCGGAGTTCATGAAGGCAGATTGTTTCCCTGTGGTCAGAAAGGGCTGAGGGAATCACACAGCCAAGGGGATGAGATGTTAAGGAAGGAACATCCCTTCTATCATCCCTAATGCAACAGCCCAGGTGCTGGCAGTGTATGAGAAAAAGAACGACAGAAAGTGCTTAGATTTATGTTTTACTCCTGTAACAGCATCTCCCTCATCCACTGGGAGATGCACTGGCCCAGGAAGGCAGTTGCTGTGCCCCAGAATGACTTTTTAAATAACCTCATTAAGAAGTCCTTATCAATAGGACTGATGGAGTGAGGTTCCAGCGGGTATCTCATCCCTGTCATTATATGTCATAATCGTAGGTGGCAGTACAGAGTTGGCCTCAGTTTGGATCCCAGGTGCCAGCTGTACAACCAAACAAAAAAAATGTATCCTTCTATCAGCTGATGGGACAGAGTAAATAGGGATTCACAATGAAGTTGTGTGACATTGCTAAGATGGATTTCATCAATCTTAGAGGTCTTTTCCAACCAAAATAATTCTATGATCTCCCCCTTTTAAAATTAAAATCCCTACTCATCTGGGGGAAGACTCTTAGAAGTTCTGGGGTGTCCTTCACCTCTGCTGAGGAGCCACCCCCATGATGAGGCCATATGGTGTATTGCAGTCCTTCTGCAAATGAGGGCTGGAAAGGGGACATTTTGGACAGGAATACTGAGTGGGATTTGTCTAGACAACACTGCTGACCTTCTCCCTTCCTAAAGAAGAAATAAACACTGTGACAATGGTAAAAGCCTGTTCTTGAGCCAGAACTTTGATTGGGATTGTGGCTGAAGCATAATTTCTCAACAGTCTTCCAAGTGCTTCTAGAGGTTACAGTGCTGTGTTACGATGCAGTCATCTGCCTTCGTGTTTTCTCTTCAAGGCTCAGGAGAGGGCATTTCTCTGAGCTGCTGTAATTGTGCTGGACTAGGCCCAAAACAAATGAGATTGAACTTAACCCATGAGCGGGGAGCCTGGTGAGATCACAACTATAAGCTCTGAAAGCTGATGTTCAGGGCCGCTTCTGTGGGTAAACTGGTCTTTGGAGTTCTTTGTCTTCCCCCACTGGCTGAGAAACTGCTTCATCTTGTTTAATGAAAAATGAATCTAACTCATATCCAAGCCTATGCTTTTAAACAGAAAACAAAATCTCTGCTTAGTAGCATTGTCAGTAAATTTTTCTAAAAGCCCACACAGGTTTATGAGAGTGTCAAAACTTTGTTTTGGCTATTCAACCCACCCATTTTGAATGCCCCCATTTCCTGATACCAAACTGAGGGAAGTTTGAGGATTTCTTTAATAAGATTTTTCTTTTTTCCTTTCTTTGTTTCAGACTGTGGGCAATGGGGAAGGTATATGGGAAGGCATATCTTCTACTAGAGTCACTTTTTTTTTTTTTTTTTTGGCAAACCACAGGAGTGGATGGAGGGAAAGAGAGAATCCCAGGTCCCAGTACAGCAGGTAGAAGAGTTTTGCTTTCTATTTGAAGGGGCTAAATGTCACTGCTGTGTGCTTTGTATATTTGGGGAGTGAATGTCCTCAGTGGTGAGCTGGAGTCAGAGTGGACCGTATTCCTTTTCTTGGCCATTTCAGTGAGCTCCCAGCATGAGGTGACATGGATGCACTGCGCATCCCTCACCACACTTCTGCAGATTCCCCATCCTCCCTAGGTGAACCTCCAGGAAACAACATTTCCATCCACTAGGAAAGCTGAGTAAGGTTCACAAATGCCGTCCCCTCTTCTAATGTCAACCTATATATTTGAACCTTTGCTCTGAATACTTAATGCATTTATGAATACATTAATACTCCACATTTATGAGGAGTCATTTGGAGATTTCTTGTGGAGGGGCCCCAGTTTACAGGGGCACTACCAAGGCTTTTGGTTCAGCTTTAGGCAAACACATTCAGTGTGGCTACACACTTCAGCTTCAGTAGTGGCTTTAAAAGATTTTTAAATATTTACACACATTCCTGAATGAGAGTGAGTTTGGGGGCCTTTAAACACTGAACTTAAAGAAGAGCAAGAACAAAATCTCAACACTTCACTAATCCCATAACTTCTCCTAAAGCATTACCTCATGAGCAATTCCTATAATTGTCATGGATTTGTTTTCATCTCTTAACAGTTGCTTAGCTTAAGGGTCCAACTTATGCTCCTCTCTCCTCTTCCTGCCCCAAAGCAGCCTTAGAGTGTTTCTGTCCAAAATAGCCACAAAATAGCCACACAGAATAAGATTTAGGAGAGATGGCAGCAATTACCCACTCAATAAACCACCTTTCTTACAGTCGTTTCAAAATGCCATCAAGTTCACAGCCCCATGGTGTTGGGTACACACCAAAAAAGTGCAAGCGTCTGACCAATCAGGAACACTTCCATCCTAGGTAGTCTTTACAGTCTGTGGAAAAATGGTGTCTCTAGGACATGGTTCACTGCATTCAAAATTCAGTGTCTGGTGCACTTTCATGTCCAGTGAATATTGGAGTATTTTAGGAAATGGGATAGATGTTTTTTGAGGACAGATATGAAATGATAATCAATGGATCAATGAAAGATATTCCTCAGTTAAGGAGTTACTTCTGAAAACCTCAAACCATTCACTGGCAAGCAGACAAAATGAGGGCACCCAACACAATAGCTGATTTATCCCACTGAGTCTGTCTTTAATTAAAAGCAGAAGCAAAACAAGCTGTGAAAGTCTGTGTGACACTTGGTGACTTGTCATCCTACCCTGTGCTCCTGCCACACTTCCTATTCCTGGGTCAGGACTCAAGGTGTTGTGGGGCCAGCCGCCCAGCTGCTCATGACGTGTTGGGAGAAAATCAAAGGGAAAAAGGTGCACAGTCCAGCCCTGCTAGTACTGATTGTGATTTCCCTGATAGGATCAGTGCTGCACAGTGGCTGTAACAGCCTGCTCAGGATTCTTCCCAGCCTGGGATCCTTGGCATGGAGACTGTTCAAATCCTATTTGGCTGTAGGGCTCCTCCTTTGCCCTATTCAGGTTAGGCAGTGGTAGACAAATACCAGAGTTTGTTCTTTAGGGTGTCATCTTCTTCCAGCCCCTTTCAGACAGTTTTGGAGCCTGCCTGGGAACACTGATTGTTTGGAATGATTTATTCTTCTTGTGGAGGTATTCCAATAGCTCTGCTTGTCTGCTCGGATGGGAGCAGGCTGGCCCAGCGGACAAGCAGCCTGGATGCTGCCAGGCCCAAACTGAGAATCAGAACAGGAGTTTAATGTAATTTTGGGTGTCATAGCAGGTGATGTGATTGCAGCCCAGGGCTTCCCCTGCACCCTTGCAGGCATAGGGGGCTGTTGGCTAGGTGCTCGCTGTGCTGGCTTCACCCTGTGCCTTGCAGAGCTGTCAGGCCCAGCAACGCCACACAGCAGTGGTTTGGGAAACCCAGCAGGAATTTGCACTTGCTCACAGCATTTTCCTTCTTCCAGACAATGCAACAAGACTTCCAATGGGAGTGACAGCTGTGACTTGATGTGCTGTGGCAGAGGCTACAACCCCTACATGGACAAAGTGGTGGAGCGTTGCCACTGCAAATATCACTGGTGCTGCTACGTGACCTGTAAAAAGTGTGAGAGAAGTGTCGAGAGATATGTGTGCAAATGAAAACTCTCCTCTGCACACCTGGGAGCTAAGACAGCAGCAGCACCCCAGCACTGTTCAGAGAAGACATTTCCTCGACTAGACGTCATTTATTTTGTAAAGACACAGACTTGAGGAGAGATGGTAGGAGGAAAAGCAACAATCACACCAGTAAAAATGACAACGTAAAGAAACCTCCCAAAAAGCAACAAACCTACAAATGTTTCTCCTCACCAATAAAATGCTCTCTGAGAAGACAAAACTTCATTTGGGATGGTATCTTCTTCCAAAATATTTCCTATGGTTGCCAATGATGTCCAGACGTCAAGTGCCTTAGTATTCTGAGGAATAAATATAGAAACTTTCCCTGGGGGGGAAAAAGGTACCATTTGTTTGACAGTAACTAAGGCTCACACCTGCCTGTGCCTTCTAGCACATGTTCTGAGTCTCCATTAGGATCATCCCACAAAGGAAAATGCTACAACTTTTCAGCAATAACTGCCTTTGTTGCCAAAGACTTAATTTTCAGCAAGGAATCATCCACTCTGAGTGATAAAAAAGTGAAAAGATTTCAGGTCAATCCCCTGCAATGAGCAACTAATTTAAATCTTTCTTTTACACAGGTCTGAAACTTTGAGCTGATTGCTGAAGGAAAATATATCATTGATTTGTCCAGGCTGGACAAAATTCAGCCATGAAAAAAATCCCCTGGAATCCTGGAGGCAGTGAGAGTAGGGTAGGCTGAGAAGGACTTTATGGGGTCCACAAGACAGCAGTGGAGCCTTTAGGATAAAATAACAAAGTGAAATCCAAGTCCAGTGGGAGAGTAAAGAAAAAAAGCAAGATCCTGCTCTCTATCTCTTTGCCCTGTGGGTGTGATACTCTTAGTCACTGACATTCTTCCACACTGACCCACCAAATCCTTGGGGAAATATGCCACTGGATTCTTCCCCCACAAGACTGTTGGTCCAACCTCAGGAAACTGCAGAGAGTGGAGCAGTCCCAGCTGTAGGTAGTACATCCATGGAAGTCAGCAGCTATTCACAGCAGGAAAGAATGGGAACATGTCAGTCCTTCACGTGGCTCTGCCCTGACACAGCAGAGAACCACTATCTGTGGCTGTACATATTTTCTTTTGTATGCAGATATACAGAAATATTTATGTCTTGTGCTTTCGTCTACTTTACTTCCTACATAAATATATCCTTATATTATAAACAAGCATTAACAATAGTATGAAATAAATGCTGAAGTTACTGGTGCAACAGCAAAATGTTAGATCATTGTTTCACACTTCTGCTTGGAAAACAATTCTGATTTTCCTCCCAAGGATGGGAAAAGAACATGTTTTGAGGCACTCACTGGCATAGGGATAGATAAGTTTCTTTATTCCCTGCCTCTCCAGCCTCTTAATGTTGAGCAGAATTAGCCAAGACACAGTCAAGATAATGAAAAAGAACACTTGGAGAAAGGAAGAGTCACCATTGCTATTTTATTTTTTTAAATCAGCAATCACTCTCATTGGTAAAATTTCCTAGTGCCCCTGAGGAGCTTAATAACAAACATGACTCATACCTCTCATGTCGTGGGTGGTTGGCTTCTGGCTCCTGCACATGGAGAGGAATTGCTGTGCAGGGGGTTTTTAACATAGCCTAGGCTCCCTTATTTGCTTTTTTGTTTGTTATTGTTTGGGGTTTTTTGTTTGGTTTTGTTTGTTTGGGGGTTTTTTGTTTGGGTTTTTTGTTGTTGTTTGTTTATTTTGTTTGTTTGCTTGGGGGGATTTTTTGTTTTGTTTTATTTTAGTGGTGATCCAGCCCTGTGTACTGATTAGAAAAAGTGATGTTGGAGAAGGATGCTGCTCCAGGAACAGAAGGCAGCAGAGCTTCTGATGTCTTTCAGATCATTCTTGAGCATCCCAACCCAATGCAAAATACTAAAATCAGCCAAAAAATCCTACACAAACATAGCGGGACTCTGTCACTTTCCTAGGGGAAAATATGTCAGTAACACCACAGTCTTTCTCCAAATCCTCTTTTTTTCCCCACTCAGTCAATCCCCAGGGGGCAACTGCCTCTGACATGTCTGTGAGCAGTCCTGGGGAACTGGAAGAGAAAAGCATCATGTGCTATAAGAGCAAAATTTGAGGTATTTTGTCTCTTCAGCTATTTTGCTTTGCTGTAATGGGTTTGGTCTTGTTGCCTCCTTCTGTCCCCCTGTTATGAGCAGGCAGAAAAAGACCTTTTGTAGTTTAACAGTGGTTTGTGTTATTGTCACCTCATAAAAGCTGATGGAGTAAAACATCTCTGCAGTGCAGTGATGAGTGGTGGGTGTCTTTAGGCTAACATGCAGACAGGCTGGTGGCACAAATCCCACTGCTCTCCAATGCCAGAATTTGGCTTCACTTGATATGTAAAGAAACCGTCTACTCTCATTCTTTTAAGGAATTTTATTTTTATTTCCAGTTTCTGATGATGCCAACAAGGCACGGATGTTCTGACTGAAGAAAAATTTGAGCATTTCAATACCACTCTGTAATGACTCTATTTCTTGCTCCCTTGCTGATGTCATGAGTCTTTCTGCTTGGTGAAAAACTAGTAAAAAGGAAGAAATGGTCTATACATACACTGTTTTCAGCAACATTTCACTCCTCCCATGTCAGACCTGTGATCCTTGACTGGCTTTCTCATGTCAGAAGAAATCATCACCTGTAATTAAAAGAAGTGAATAAATCAATTAGTCATCTGCAGGTCTATCAGGTGGGAAATGAGCTCACAGCAGAATTTTTGCCATGGTGGTAACTCACACTTTGTCATCTCATGCCACAGATATCTGTTACTGAAGATGTTGACCTGAAATGGCTGAATTGTTTGGAGTTTTGCAGTTTGGGGCAACCACGTTCAAAATCTCTGCTGGCTTCTCAAGATAATCCATCATGGTCTTCATCTGAACTTCACTTCTTTGACAAAAGAGTCTGTGTGTCCCCAGCCCATGTCTTAGGCTGTTAGTCTAGGAATTAACAGTGTTACACTGCTTTTGCCACAAGTTCTAAATTTCAGGACCCTTTTCTTCTCTGGAGCAGCTGCACACTGTATTAGGAGTGTGCCCAGGGTGATGTACCTTCCTAAGGTGAGAATCATGCACAGGGCAAGGTCTGATAAACTGCAGCCTCCCTTGCTACACAGGCCTGCTTCATCCAGCAAACTGGGGTCATCTCATCAGTTTCATGGCTTTAAGCTGAAATAAGGTAGATTTAGATTAGATGTTAGGAAGAAATTCCTCCCTGTGAGGGTGATGAGGCCCTGGCACAGGTTGCCCAGAGAAACTGTGGCTGTCCCACCCCTGGAAGTGTCCAAGGTCAGATTGGACAGAACTTGGAGCAACCTGGTCTAGAGGAAGGTGTTCCTGCTCATGGCAGGGGGTGGAACTTCTAAGATCCACCACTTCTAAGGTCTTATGAGCTTCTAAGGTCCCTTCCCCCCCCGTAACCATTCTGTGACTCTACGATGCCCCTCTGGATGCTCTGGCATTTCCAAATTTTTTCAGAAAATGTCTTTCTATGAGCAGTAGAGAGTACTTTCTTCTTTCTTTTTAATAAGAACTAGGAATAAAGAGAGTGCCTATGATACAGGGCTGTGCTGGCAGAACCACCCACAGTACATCTTTCTCCTTGCTGTCTCTTATGCTTCACTCCTTGCATCAGCAGAGACGCCAGAAAAGTGTCACATCTCTCAATTTCAATTATTGATACAACAGGGATCCAAAACAGAATGGCCAAGTCATTTTGCAGTCTAGAGGAAGGTGTCCCTGCCCATGGCAGGGAGCTTGAACTGGATGATCTTCAAGGTCCATTCCAACCCAAATCATTCTATGATTCTATAATTTTTTGTGCATGTGAAAGATATTTGGGAGAACATTTGTCACAAACCAGCTTTGCAAGGAAAATGCATTCCTCCTTCCCTTTCTCAGGCCTTCAGCAAGCAGTTTTCAAGGCTTTGCTCTAAAACACTGAGATCCTTCAGGTACTGCAGGAAACAGCTTTAATTACTGTGAATGTCTTTGTCAGGTGATGCTGTAGTTCCCTTCTTATAACAGGTCTTTTCCCATCCCAGCAGCTGATATAATTTGGCCCAGCTCCATGTCATACTATGCAGTACTGTTGATTTACACTAGCTGGCAAAATACATCTGATTTATTCCCACAAACACTATTTCACAGCTTTACAGTATTACTCCTGATGGAAACAGCCAAGCTATCCTGAAGAGTATTATGCTGGTGGCCTTGTAGTATTTATTAATTTGAAAAAAAATTATGATTTAATAAAACAGTTTGGACTTAATGATATTTTCAGATCTGAGGTTTTAGACCCCATATACATCTGGCTGATTTAATATTTTTTGATTAATCCCCCCCATCTTTACCCCTTCCAGTTTTATATCATTTAGGTTTCGCCATAAGGGAGGCAAATGCCATTCATTATAAAAAACTCCCATCTGATTGTGTATTTTATTCTACAAAAATAGAAAGTATCTTAATTATACTAAAGTAAGCAGCCCACAATATTTCACATGCAGCTAGAAAAGCCCTTGGTGAGAGGAAGGGGGGTGAGGGAAGAAAACAATCTGAATACAAGTGTCTCTGTCAGGAAAGTGATAAAAGAGTCCCTGAGGGACCATCCCTCTTCCTGCTAGAAAACAGATCCTTGTAGACAACCATTATCATCCTCCAAGAGAGACAGACTTGTGCTGCATAGCTCTGGGCTACCTGTTTGGGGAAGGTGCTGGGAGGAGGCTCTGGAGTTACTTGGGAATATGGGGAACAAGAGGAAAATTCTGGCCTGGGATCGACTGTTGTCAGACCTCCACCCCGTGACAAAGGATTTGCCTTTCCCTGCATCAGACAGGGATTGTGAAACACCATTGTTTTGTTCCCAAGAGCAGATCAGAGCTATAACAGGCACGACTTTCTCCTCTGCAAGGGAGATGGAGCAGAAAACAAGGTTTGGGAGAGGGGGAAAAAGAACAGGAAACTTAAAATCCACCTGAGATTAATGACTTTAACATGTACAGCATATTTTGTTTTGTTTTACTCTCAGGACCAGTTTCATCAGTCAGACAGAGTTTGATTAAATATCTCAGCAGAGCTTTGGTTTATTCATCTAAAGAACAAATTACCCTCTCCTCATGAAAACAGCATTAACTGTGCTTTCTAATTGTGAGAGCAACAATAATAATAAAAATAGTAACAATAGAATACATTGTGGATTGGGTTTATTTCCTCTTTTGTTAAGAATAAGTGGACAGTATTTTGTCTGTATTGTAAATTAAATTAGTTTTAAATTTTAAAGATACTTTCTGGGCTGTGTGGAAAGTTTTCTTTTTTTTGCTCTTTTAAGTGGAATTTTTCAAGGTATTTACCAGAACCACATTTTCTTGAAATTTCTCTTAAGGCAGAAGAGGGTCTCACATAACTGCACAACTGCAGGAGCTGGGATATAAAGGGATATGCTGCCAGGACTGCAGAGCTTAGGAGAAAGCCACTAGGTCCATAACATAGTGCCAGAACTCTTGTGCTGCTGTCAATGTAAGGATGATATTCAGCTCTAAAAATTTTCATTGGTTGAGTGACTCTCTGAAGTCTACCCACTCTCATGATACAGCAACAACTCAAAAAGGGATGGCTCGCATGCTTAAGGCTAAAAGTGTGTATTACAGTTTTCCTGTATTAGTGCCAAAGCACTGAAAAACTTGGATAACCAAATCTTATAAATGCCAGTTATCAATAGATCTCTATAAGTGGTAACTGTTGACAAATGGGCTTTTAAAAATAGAGACCCATGTTTCTTTCATATTTTCTAATTTGCTCAGGCCGGGATGAGGTCTGGAGTGTTGCTCAGTGGTGATGAAATGATGAACTGGAGCAAAGATGGAACTATAAAAATTAATCCAGGTAAAGTTGGGTGCTCACAATCCTGTGTTTGTCTGAAACTCTAGGATGTGTGACAGCATAATTTCAACATCCTTGAGGATTGGCTACTTTCTCAAAATTCATGCTGTATTTCAGAGGAAAGAGGGATTTAAGATCCGTTATTCTAAGAGGCATCTTTCCTTCTCCATTGTTTCTCATCCTAAATTTCAAGTTTTAAATTATCCTAAAATAAATATAATCTGTGCCATTATGAAAGCCATTAATAACAGCAACTGTGTCACCACCAGAGGAAACCAACTGTTAGGCATATTTCAAA